CCTTGGGGCGGTCCTCAGTGGAACTCAGGGACAGGTCACTATACAGCTGGTCCTCTAGTGAAGTCACGGTGATGTCTAGGTCATAAGGACTAATGGTGTACAACAATACCATATATATCTCTACTCGATTATTGAGAACCACTTAGAGATTTCTAGGGTGAGGGAGTTCAGTGAACTCGTCAACTTACGAGCACCCACTTATGCATGCCGATATCACAATACCGTTTACTAATGAGATGCAGTACACATACACTAAGTGCTAGTCTCTTAATGGGAAAGGCCGATATCCTCATTGGTGGCGTAATCCTTTGACTAGGAACACGTTTAACAGTTATAATACTAAAGTAAATATCTCACGATCCTAAAGATCAATTACTAGTACTTGTAATAACTGTAAGGACTATATCTATGTTTGAGACAAAGGGACAAAGATATAGAATGCCCAGGTGTTTTTTATCATAAATACGAAAAACGATTATTTATTACAAGAATAAATGGAAAAACCACAGCCACAAGTTGGCTTGTTGGTCACCTACTCTAACAGTTTCGGATCGGCAGAATAGCTCCTCTTTACCTAAAATATAAATAAAACAGAAACTCATAATATGTACAAATAAAGGCAAAAAATCGGACGAACGAAAACCAAAACTCGAAGATTTGGTAAGTAAAATTCATGCAAAACGAACACTTATTAGACCCTCAAACTTCTTTACTCGTCCCGAGTAAACAAAACAAAACTACAAGCCTTTGAACCCCTGAGTACCCCTAAACAACGGGTTGTGTCTCGTGAGGGTTTTCAGACAACACACCCACAAAGTTGCCGGATTGGTCAAAGCATTGCAATTAATTCCAAAGATAAAACGAGCTAGATAACCTAAAATCTCAAAATAGCTTACGTTCATAAATTTACCAAGTACCGTAATTATACAATTCTAAACTGTATCTAGGCGATCAAGAATGGATGGGAGAAATGAAACTACAAAGAAACAATAAATAAAAGTAACAGTCCGCCGGGACAGGCGAGGAATGCCGACATGAGATGGATTCTAGGGTAAAATCCACCAGTGTACTATCGATAAAGATCTACAAATCCGAATCTAATGTCAATTCTATATTCGCTAATCCAGACACTAAAATACCCTAACCCCCGTCCCTAGTGTAGTTAGTGTCTACCCAAAGGTCCGACATCTCTGTTTAGAACCTGATATTAAGAAAGCAGTTAGGTCAAGTCCTTAAGGGCTACCCGAGGTGCATCACGTCTTCATTTCCACAACCCGAGCTATGTTTTCCTAAAATCAAACGAGAAATCCTCTCTCGAGTTCATTCTCATTTACAATGAGTTTAGCTGTTGGCTAAACAGTCTAAAGCATTTAATACAGGAAAACATAAACATAATCAAAGAACGAATAATAGATCATAGATCTGGAAATCAAAATCAATATAAACAAGGTTTCATTTCCCTAAAAGAAAATGCTCAGTTCATTACAAACATAGCATCAAAATGAAGAACACGAGAAATCATAAACTAATCGTAAAGAAAAAACTTATGAAAAACCCGGGTCGAAACCCTCGTAGAAGCTTCCCGCGAAGAACTGGCGAAAACCGAGGAGAAAACCGAAGAAGAGGTCGAAGAAGAAGTGCCAAGAGATTCTAAAAATGAAAAGGAGATCTTCTATTTATAGTAAAACAACAAAGAAAAATATCTGGTTTCGATTTCTGTGCCCAGATCGCTATAGGGGCTTCTTGGATCACGATCTGGCAGCCTCGCAAACTGCGCACCGCCTTGCCAGATCGCGATACGGGAATGGTGGATTGCGATATGGTTCTTGATAAAAAAAATGTTCTGAGAGACCCCCTAGATCGCGATACAGAAAGCCTGGATCGCGATATGGATCCTGATCAAAAACCCTTCTGTAAGGCCCCTCCAGATCGCGATATAGGAAAGATGGATCGCGACCTGGCCTCTGCATCAACTTCAAACACTGTTGTGACCCCTTTTTAGCCCGAATTTGACAATTTTGCATTTGTCAAAAGTTGTAGACCTTGAAGTTAGATGTCCAAATCCTTTTTAAATCAGCTCAATCGGAGTCGTATGCAAAAGTTATTCTTGAAATACCAAAGAGTGCCACAACCCGCGAGAATGCACTTTTGCACGTGTTTGGTTTGATCATCGGCTTCGCTTCCAATATTGTTTAGAATTGGAAAAAATAGATTCTGTTTACCTAAAATATAAATAAAACAAAAACAACATAATATGTTCAAATAAAGGCGAAACTCGGACGAACGAAGACCAAAACTCGAAGATTCGATAAGTAAAAATCGTGCAAAACGAACACTTATTAACCAACAATTGAATTGATTATAATGGGAATGAACTCGAGAGAGGATTTCTCGTTTGATTTTAGGAAAACATAGCCCGGGTTGTGAAACAGAGACGTAATGCACCTCGGGCAGCCCTTAAGGACTTGGCCTAAATGCTCTTTTAATATCTGGTTCTGAACGGAGACGTCGAACCTGTGGGTAGATTCTAACTACACTGGAGACGGGGGTTAGGGTATTTTAGTGTCTAGGTTAGCAAATATAGAATTGACATTAGATTCGAATTTGTAGATCATTATCGGTAGTACATCGGTGTATTTTCCCTAGAAGCCATCACACGTCGGAATTCCTCATTTGTCCTCGCGGACTGTTGTTTTTATTTATTGTTTATTTTTAGCTTCATTTCTCCCATTCTTTTGTCTGTCTAGATAGAGCTTAGGATAGTATAATTACGGTACTTGGTAGATTTAGGAACTTAATTCCATGTGGATCGATATCTGGAATTCATTATTCTACAAAATGCGATAGTGTACACTTGCGGTTATTTAAACGTAGGTTTTACGCGTATCATATTTTTGGTACCCTTGCCGAGGAATTAGTTAATATTGAATTTACTAATATCGTTACTAACTATCCTTGCTTTACTTTAGACAATTTTTCTTTTATTATTTTTGTTTTGATTTTTTTCATTTGTTTTAGCATATTTGTATACATTGATAGCCTCGATTTATGATCTCTCTCTTTGCGAGCTTCAATCCAGAAAATGGAATTGGCCAGACAAATGAGTATTT